ACTTATACATGGCGTTTATGTATTTTTCGACGAAACTGGAATGAACAACACATCAAACTTCTCCACGCTGGGAAATGTGGCGTTAAATAAGTCAAGAAGTCTGCAAAATGATGAGATCTAATAAAACGAAACTGAAACCTGCAATTTACAAGACAGTGCTCAAAACGTTACATGCTATTCGAACTTATCGTTCGTAGCTGATGTATTATCTCAAAGTGCAAATACAGGTGGAACAATACAGTCTATGTCCTGCTGGGGTAATAATTTTACTAAAGTTCGTCAATTCTCATCTTATATATATCACCTGTGAAGAAATATTATATAGTCTGTAACATATTGGACATCTGGAATCATTGCACATGATTAATTACCATTATTTTGATAAGAATTTTAAGTTATGATTTATAGATTTATGAAGAATAATAGGACGAGACTAATTTCGGCAATATTTACATTAACAGATGAAATGTTGTAGCCCAAGACAAACTTATATAATGCGGGGCAAAAACAAACATGATATGAAAATTCGCATTTGTCGCAGGATCGTACATAATCATGTTATCACAATTTCGTTTCGATTTACATCATATGAATCTTATTATCAAAATTGGACACTCTGTTTGTTTTATCTACGTTTTACCGGCATGGCTGAAGTCACTCCGTCTTGTGGACTGCAATCAGATAGTGCACTACATGTAGTTTATGTATAACACTGCAAATCCTTTTTCGTGACGATTTAGGCAAAGTCCTGAAGTGCAACAGTATGGCAATGGTGTAGTTTTTTCAGCATTGTTACAAATTTTACGAGAATTGATAGTGAAATGAAAATTTCATATATAATTGTTACAAGCGATACAGCATAAGCCCTAAAATGATCAGAAATCGGAATTAATAACCTTACATAGATGAGATGTTAGAAGGTTGTATTATAAATGTATAGATCTAGGTTTTACAACATTGTTACAAGTGTAACAAGAGTTTGAAGTGAAAACTTCATATAAAATTGTTACAAATGTCATAGCATGTTACAACTGTAACAGCACAAGCCTAAAAATGGTCAGAAATCGAATTAAGCAGGTTTACATAGATGATATAGTTGTTACAGCATTGATACAAATGTTACGAGCGTTATGGTTAATAAAAATAATTGTTACATATCTTACTGAATGTTACTGAATGTTATAAATGTTACAGCACAATCCCTAAAAATAGTCATACATTTGAATTTATATGGTAACATAGATGTAATAGGGCCGTAACATAGTTGTTATAGCATTGTTATAAGTGTTACGAGAGTTGAGAGTGAAATGAAAACTTTATATAAAATTGTTACAATTGTTACAAGTTCAGCCCTATAAAGGTCAGAAATCGGAATCAGTAGCGTTGCATAGATGTTACAAGTTTGTGACATAGTTTTAATAGCAATCTTACAAATGTTATGCGAAATAAGAGTGGAATTAATATTTTGCACTTAATTGTTACAATTGTTTTAAAAAATATATAAGTATGGGACGTTAGGAATACAGCTATTACATGTGTTAAACTAATGTTACATACATGTTACTTGGCGTGATCCCTGAAACATATTACAAGCGTTTCCCTAAATTGTGCCCATGTTGTGCCCTATCTCAACAACTATGTAATAAGTATATTTTATTGTAGTTTTTTATATATTATTTTTTGCAGAACCTTGTTCATTTCAGTGAAAAAAGTAATTGTTGATATTCTTTCGTTTATTTGTTAAAATTTTTGAGCTGAACTTGTCTACAGATCACATGTTTCTCAATTTAAAGCTGTACCTTTATATTTAAACTTGAATTCTGATGAAAGGTACACGGTATCTTGCAAACCGGGTCTGGAACATTATTCAGTTTGCTGTTATGGGCGATATTTTTCAGTAAAAACTTCATATCGTGTTGTAGGGTTACTATAACATTGAAATGAAATGATATATTACACAAAAGTAAGTTAAATCATAATTTAATATTACGGCCCGTGTTAAAATTATGAGATGTTGAGATGCAAGAATATGAAGAGAATGTGAAAAATTATGGTTTGGTTGTAGTAATACCAGCTGTTAGCTGTATATAAATATACACATATTGCGCATGCTCAGTAACATGTCTAGCCAGTCTTGATGTTAAGGATTTTAGGAAAATAAATTATTATCTTATAGACTGAGTATACACGTGTTTGTGTTATAAATCACTACTTTGTGAAGAGTACTTATTTATTATAACTTCCAAACTACAGAACAAGGGGAGAGTACGTTTTAATGATGAAGGAAGTGTTAACATGCCTAGTAAGTATAACAAAATGACAAAACACATTTCGGTTTATTACTCCATCAGTAATCACGATTTGTCCAAAACAATATTAAATATTCCAATGCAGGAATTCATGAACCATAAGTCATACGAACAGTCAATTATACAGTGACGGAAATGAGATGTTCTGTATTTCACGTTGGCAATATTTTCGCAATTTGCATAAAGTTTTAAGGCCATTTCATTATCCAAGAGACATAATGTACGCCAGTACGAAGATGAACTGTCGTCATGGTAATATATCATTGTTTTTTTTTGTATTTTGTGTGTGTGTGTGTGTGTGTGTGTGTGTGTGTGTGTATTTTTTTTTTTTTTTTTGGTCTTATGTCGCTTAAACAGAATGAAAGACATATGGCAATTTTTCAGCTTTCACTAGTGGAAGAAGATTGCCGTACTATATATATATATATATATATATATATATATATATATATATATATATATATATATATATATATATATATATATATATATATATATATTCTTTATCTGAGTCTCACCCATTCATAAAAACATAAAACAATTAAATGACATAATATATAAAGTAAAAGTTATTTATGTACGGCCATTCTTATCAGAATTACAGGAGACTAAAAAATAATCTAATGGAAGGGAGGCAACCCTGCAAGAATGTCCAATATAACTTACAGAGTTACCTCTCTTCTCATTCCATATTCATGTGCATATTACAACTTAACATTGCTAAAATAAGAAACTATTGCTAATCTTGTTCTAAAACACTTAAAGAGTTTCTTGTAAAATTTCTTTACAGTAAAAACCCTTGAATTGTTCTCTTCCTTAAACCTGTAAAAATTAGACTGAATAACAATAGATTCTTAACATATAAAATCATAATGCAGATAAAATTATTTCGCATCATTGGAAAGATAAAACTTTTATGAGTAAAAATAAATCATTATTCAAATTTAAGTGACTGTACATATAATGTCTTTGCCTAAAAATAAGATAAAGGAAGATTGAGGGATCAGTTACTAATCATTAACTATGTTTACCCTTTCAAGAGACCTCGGGAGTTTTGTACAAATATCTTTGTCTAATGATTAAAAGTACTAAAATATTTTATAAACCTAAAAATCAGGCTTATACATACACTGATTAGTACAATTTCTCAATAATTTAATGTAAAATCCTCAGTTTTTTTGGATAAAATGTTTAACAATTAAAATTAACATTATAAGAGACAGTTCTCGGGAATACAACCAGTTAGTTCTGCTTTTAAGAATATTGAAACAGGATTTTGCAGCACATTTTACAATTTCAGTATTGGAAAAAAATGAACGACAGTTTATTGTCATCAGACAGCCTTAAGAATTGAGCATTTTACATTTTCTGCTTTGGCAAATAAATCTTTCCTAATATCCTCATACCTTGGACAATATAAAATAACATGTTTCTCATCTTCAATGCCAGTTTTACAGATTGGACAAATTCTTTGGTTGAAAGCTAACCTTTCTCGAGTCTAATAGAGGCTACCCCACATCGAAACTTTGCAAATGCTGATCTATGCTTATTTGGCAGGATAGCAGTTACATATGTTTCTGTTTCATAACTAAACTTAAAGGTTATGTAAGTCCTCAATTTATCCTCCTTGCCCAGAACTACTATTTATTGCATGTAGTGACTCAATACTGAAGCCCTGTCGTCATCGCATTTAGTTTAATATATTTATTTAAGCTCGAGCGAAACAACACTTGCCACAAACATTAAAGTGCCATTATGTTCATTTCTTTTTCACTGTAAGTTGATATTTATTATATATTTCAAGAGATTGGCTATTAAATGACAATTGAAAAATAATTGGTAATTAATTCTGACAAATATTTAGGATAGAATATAAAAACTTCCTAAATTATAACAGATGCTGCCCTTATGATTTTGTAAAATGAATATCTTGATATTTTTCCGAAAAATATTTGTATAGATATTTATGTGGGTCGCGGGGGTTACTGGTTTCTCTGGTTATGTTTGTTATAAAATTGTAAACACAAACAACATGACAAAGTGTGCTAGATGAAATCCCGGGGGGAACAATTTCGCTTGTTCAAAGAAATAATTCTTGAAAACAATTCCAACGCCCCTGAAACTTAAAAGTATTTCATCCGACGTGAAATTATTTCCTTTGATAATAATCATTAGAAAGCCTAGTTGACTCGTGTCGTGCTTACAGCCGAGTTTGTATAGGACCGAGTTGGCTTATTACCCTATCATCTCTCCATCTAGAATATGTACTTCGGAACTGGTCAAAGGAGGTCTTTTGGTTCGAATCAAACAGATATTATTTCTTTATCATTTCTTTTTGGTTACCAATGGAAATTTAAGTTTCTTGTCGGGTTGTGCTTGTCCTAACACTCTCCGGAAGAACAGTGCCGAGTTTATACGACAATTGACTGATAGGGTACAAAAATAGGAATCTTCGCCTGTAAACATACACGAATTATATAAACGATTATAATGAATTTAATTATGATACAAGTTATGAACTATAAAGCATTGATTAAATCGCATTACCCGTTTTTAAGCTGTCTTGTACGATTTAAGAACGACGCTTGTGCCAAATGTATTACTTAACAGAGGTTTTAACTTCTTTTTTATTATAAATAATACAGGTCATTAATTAATAATAAAGATATAATCCAAAGACCGTTTGTTGGCATTTCATATGTAGTACAAATTTTGCGGGCATTCAAGCTCGAGTTTCTTTCACTAATAATAACGAGGTCGTGTTTTCACCAATACGGAGGAATAGCACGTGTTACGTGAGTTAATTTATGTGTAGATATTTTTTTATTTTTAAAGTTTCTTTATTTTTCTTGTCTGTTTCAGAGTTTACAAATTGATAAACTTGTGAAAATTCGAGGGGAAATTTTTGGGAGTGTCTGGGTGTATAATTTTAAGCACCTATGTATGCGTTTCTAGCTTTACAAAATTGGCCTGTGTAACAACCTTTCTTATTCTTGCATATCAGACAGGATCATCTGCAATTCACACCGGTCCTAGAAAAATCTGTCGAACCACAACTGTTATGAATGAATATAAAAAGTACTAAATGAAATGCTAGATTTCGTAATATCTGTCCGAAATATGATTGACATGCAATATGCAAGAAACAGAATCAAACATCGTTCGTCACGGACGGGAATATCCAGCTCTAAACAGTTACCCTTGTGATAGATATTCCGGTCCTTGTCTGAAGATTCTTATAGTCCAATCATAATGGTAATGGGAAAGCAAAACAAACGCTTTTGGATGGCCTATTTTAGAACAAAAACATGTCTTGGTCTGTTTAAATAAAAACGAAACTACGGCTCTATTACAACGAGTCCGTGAGGCGGGTTTCATTATACAATTATAACAAAACGTTTTGCGAGTTTAAGAGTTTTAATCATTTTACATATTTTCGTTTACATTACAAAATGTATTTACATAATTTTGATAGGAAAATAAGAGTACAAGAAACCATATATTAGTGCTTGTTCTAGACTTAATACATCACAGTCAATGTAAAACAGTTAAAAATTCACGATTTATGATTTAGTTTGTGTTTCTAAAAAAGACATTAAAATGTTAATAAACAATGCATTTTCATTCGCATTCAATACTGTGCGATTTTATAGCATTTTGAATGAATTATTAGTATTGTGCAAACGGACTTGTTTCGAGTAGCCTAAAATTTGCAAATCTTTCTAAGCACTACGCGCATATGATATCCTATACGCCACCAGTAAAGTACCAAATCCAGCCGCTTGACCGGATCCAGAACTGTTAGATCATTTATTCAAAAAGAGGGCAAATCCAAAGAGGACTTAACTATTATATTTGTTCACTTTATATGTGTAACAAGTTATCTGATATACATGCATGTTTAACTTTCTCTTATCATTTGAAGGTGATGAGGGCGGTTGCGGTATTTCTTCTGTCCGTGTTTCTGAACAATGCTGTCCTAGGTAACAAACAGTTTCAATATTTCTTTTTTAAACTTTATTTTCAATGTCACGAAACCATTATATCATTCTTTGTATAATGTCATTTAGTTACGTCATTTTCATTGTTACGCCATTTTGATTTTGTCAAACATTTTTTTAATCACTTGATAAAAGTAAAATAAATCTGTTTGAGTTTTATATATTAAGCTTACAGCAAAATATTCCTAGACCTTAAAGTTATTACTGTTTGCCATACTCGCCCTTTCACTGATGCTGCACTATCTATTAAAAATACTGTATATCTTGACTTCATCTACAGCTGCAGATGACACAAACCTTAGACGAATTTATTGATAAAATCCAAGCAAAATATACAATATATACAAAACACAGAATTTGATATATTTATTTATTGATCATTATTTGTTTACTGATCATTAAGAGCTATTTTTATATATTTTGAAATTACTTTTGACCTTCATTGGTACATTATTGTTTTCCCCCACTTGATCAACGAAATAACGGTTAATGTGTAATTATTTTCAGATGAGGCTCTTAAAGTTTATAGTAATAAGAATAAAACTTTTCATTTTTGGTGCACGTTTATAGTTTCCAAAAAATAATAGTTTTTAACTTCTGTTGCTGATTGCCAAAAAGTAATGCTATATAGTGGTTTAGTAATTTGTATGGAAGTCAAGATACTACTTTGTTTACAATTTGCTACTTTTATGACACATTATTTTAGCCGTGTCACGACAAAACCAACATAATGCGTTTGCGACCAACATGGATCCAGACCAGCCTGCGCATCCGCGCAGTCTGATCAGGATCCATGCTGTTCGCTAACCAACTCTATTACAAGTAAAGGAACTGATAGCCAACAGATGCGCAGGCTGGTCTGGATCCATGCTGGTCGCAAATGCATTATGTTGGTTTTGTCGTGACACGGCTCATTTCACGAATGTATCACTACGTTCTTCATTAAACAAGCATCTTACAAGCTCTCAAACCATTATTGAAATGTTATAAAATAAAATTAATGCTCGCCCTCTCTAAAAGATTTCTGAGGCATAATGTGCCTTTAAAATATTTTTAATTGTACGTATATTTTATTAGGTTCATATATGATCATGTACATGCGCAACTCTAATCGTCTAACATCATTTGAAAATGGTCGCCATTGTAATATTGAAATCTTGCGTAGATTGCAATACAAACGATAAAGAAGACGAATTCAACTTTGTTTCAGTTTGCCCCTATAATGAAAACAGAAGAAAATATATTCTAAGATTTTATCATAAATTTCAAACTTATGAATGCATTTTTGCATAGCTTAATTAGTAACATGAGTTTGACGTTGTTATTATTTCTCAGATTACTCTCCATTGTTTTCATTTATATACATCTTAATGTACATGGTTGTACTATTATTGCATTGCAGATTCTTATTATATATATATGTATGATTTACATGTATATGTACGGATGCATAAATAATGATGGTGACCGGCATGTTTAAGTATTAAGTCATTTTTTTTTGTTCTGTTCTGATCAGCAAAATATATTGACCTTTAATGACTGAGTACAATGCACTTAAACTCTGTGGATACACCGTGTAAATCCAGTAACGCAGGAATGTGCAAATAACGCAGGAATAGTGCAAAAGTAACGCAGAATTGTGCAAGTAAGTGGCTAAAATGTTCACCGTTATAAGTAAATGGACCATTTTTTTTATTGTACACCAAATTGGAAGAAATCTATTAGCGCATACGGTTGCAGAGACATTATACTTTAAACCTTATCAAAAATATTTCTATGAAAATATTTATTTTTCAAGATCATTCGTGAAAAGGACGACCGGACTAGCGTATTGATGGCGATTTTTAGTTTCGTTGATATCTTCAAACACAATAACATACATATTACGTAATGATTTTTTATATTCGACATTTTCCAATCTATTCGTATCTTTATACACTTAATTTGGCAGATAAAACGTAATTAAGATAATTTTTACGAGGTAACGGTGAATTCGTGAATGAAGCACTGAAGCAATGGCGGTTAGCTCATTAAAAGTAGCTAAATCTTATTTTACCAGTTTCCTTCTATTGTTATACGGCACTTGTAGTTTTACAAATGTCTTTTGTATACAGACTATGAAAAAAATAGTCTTTTAGATGTGTTAAATGAACATATATATTTGACAAAACACAAAAGTCACCTACAAAACGGTAATTAGGTTGTCTTTGTCACGAATGATCTAAAGAAGTAAATGTATTCCTGAAAAAATATTAATGCTGGTTAAAGTATAATGTAGTAGCAGCCTTATGCACTAATTCATTTCTACGAATTTGATTTATAACAAAATATTTTGGTTCGTTTACTTACTGTGTTATTCGTTTTTGCAATACCGTTGCACAGATTCGGCGTTACTTTTACGTTATTTGCACATTCCTGCGTTATTGGATATATTCAAAAAAGAATAACAATTAATATCAGCAACAACATTAGAAAAATACTTGAGAAATTATATAAAAAAATATTTTGTATATATGTCTCTTGTACATACAGCTTTTCAAAAATAACCGTTTTTTTAATGCCCGAGAAAATCATACACATTTTAAAGTATGGCGCAACGTATTTATGGTTTATGTATAATTTAAAGTTACCAACACTATATTATTATGAAATTATGAAAATTGTCAATTAAGAAATAAATCATGGTACCTTGTATTTAAAGTTGAACGTTTATTTCAAATACTTAAAGCTCGGTGACATGTTGAAGACCAGAAAAGCTATTTTTATCAGAGAATTTGAAAAAGTCTAATTTTGTTAAAACAAAAAATAAAAAAGCAAGGTTATCCCCCCCCCCATTTGCTGAATGGACGAATGCATATCTACTTATAATCTGCGTCTAATAAATGATACAAATTTGAACAAAGTGTTCATAGTGCCATCGCACACTTTTATACATGTATATTTGAAAGGCACACGGACACATTTGACAAAGAAAAAAAGACTATATATAATTATATTAAAACAGTTTGTGCACTCACATTTCAACATTTTTGTTTTCGTGAACTACGTTTAAGAGAATTGAAATTTTATGTTAAACAATGGAGGGCAATAGTACACGTACATGATTATAAAATAACATAATGCGATTATGAATAATATCAAAGTTACCCCTTTAGAATTATTTTTGTCTATTATACCAGCCGAATATTTGATCGTTTATTTTCATAATCCGCTTACTTGGTATTGTATTTGTCAATAGGTCTGTTAAAATAGGTGTTTTTAAAATTTATTTTGACCGTTAGTAAATTTACAAAATCAGTCAAAAACACGTGCAACATACACTCATTTTAAACAAAGTTAGTGCAGTACATGTAAATTTTAAAAGTAATTTAGACCTTTAGCCAGAATATACCTCAAAGTATGCATTTTAACAGTTAGAAAGACGAAAATTGTTTGATTAGGAAAATGAAAAGCCATTCGTTAATCGTTATAAATTTCAGCACGAGCACTCGTGCACACACACAGAGGAGTAAACTACAGAGTGTTTCTGGAAACGATATTTACATGAATAAGAAATTATTCATGTATTAGTGCAAACAGTTACTGGTGTTTGCTAAAATTTAATGATACTATCAAGTGTGACCACTCTGGCGAGTTATGATATAAATATTAGATATCCGTACACTTCAGCTGATACATTATACTAATTCACTCGTCAAAAGCAACTTCAGTGGTGATTTGTCATTACAATTCCAAAATTTGGTTTTATGCGAGCTAAATTAATTGTTCGCGTGAAATGTCTAAAACGATACAAAATATCGAAAGAATGCTCAGCAATAACTTCATAACTATTTCATTAATGCATGAAAGCCCAATGACTTCATTAATTCTTGCCACAGCAAAACCTTCATTAATGCATGCAACCAGAATAACTTCTTCAATGCATGCAACCACAGATACTCCATTAATGCATGTAATAACAATAATTTCATTAATGCATGCAACCAGAATAACTTCTTCAATGTATGCAACCACAGAGACTCCATTAATGCATGTAATAACAATAATTTCATTAATGCATGCAACCAGAATAACTTCTTCAATGTATGCAACCACAGAGACTCCATTAATGCATGTAATAACAATAATTTCATTAATGCATGCAACCAGAATAACTTCTTCAATGCATGCAACCACAGGGACTCCATTAATGCATGTAATAACAATAATTTCATTAATGCATGCAACCAGAATAACTTCTTCAATGTATGCAACCACAGAGACTCCATTAATGCATGTAATAACAATAATTTCATTAATGCATGCAACCAGAATAACTTCTTCAATGTATGCAACCACAGAAAACTCCATTAATGCATGTAATAACAATAATTTCATTAATGCATGCAACCAGAATAACTTCTTCAATGCATGCAACCACAGGGACTCCATTAATGCATGTAATAACAATAATTTCATTAATGCATGCAACCAGAATAACTTCTTCAATGCATGCAACCACAGGGACTCCATTAATGCATGTAATAACAATAACTTCATTAATGCATGCAACCACAGAGACTCCATTAATGCATGTAATAACAATAATTTCATTAATGCATGCAGTCACAAAAAATCCTAAATACATTAATATATGTAACTACAAATACTTATAAAAGCATGCGATCACATTGAATTCATTAGTGCATGCAACCACAAAGATTACATTAATGCATGCAAGCATATTAACTTGATAAATGTATGCAACCACAATAAATTTATTTATACATGCAATCACAAAGGTTACATTAATGCATGCAACACCAATATTTTCATTAATGCATGCAATCATAATAAATTCATTAAAGAACTAATACATGCAACCACAAATACTTATAAAAGCATGCAATCACATTGAATTCATTAATGCATGCACTCACAAAAGCTTCTTTATTTAATGCAGCCATAAAGAGTTCATATATCCATGCAACAGCATAGTTCATTAGTTAATGCAACCACAAATATGTCATTAATGCCTGCAACCAAAATAACTTCATTAATGCCTGCAACCAAAATAACTTCATTAATGCATGCAACCAAAATAACTTCATTAATGCCTGCAACCAAAATAACTTCATTAATGCCTGCAACCAAAATAACTTCATTAATGCCTGCACCAAAATAACTTCATTAATGCCTGCACCATCAATAATGTCATTTATGCATGTAATCACACATATTTTATTAATACATGCAAACAAAGACTTCATAAATGCAAGCAATAACACTAACTTCATTAATTCATGCAATATCAATGACTTTATTTAGGCATGCAAACACAATAACTTGGTTAACGCATGTTATCACAAAGAGTTCATACACAATGAGTTCATCAACATGTGCAATAACAATAACAGCAGTATTGTTTCATATCACAATATCTTCATTAATGCATTTAACTTGATACATGCGACAGCTGACTGGAATAAAGATAATAAATTATCACTATCATTTAAAGCTTTAAGCATAAAGATAATTAACATTTTCGATGTTGACTATAAATGATGCAAACGTTTGATATGTTTTTATTGTAGCTTATCCATCCGGTTATATGGGTTGTTGGACTGACAGATCTACAAGAATTATGTCCGGTCGTGTTAGTGATTCCAACTCAAACTCAGGTGACGAATGTAAGCGGAGATGTAAGGCTAAAGGTTACAGATACGCCGGTACTGAAGTATGTCTATTTTTACAGTACAGTTTGTATTTTCTTTTTGAATTTCAAATATCATAATAATAATAATGATAATAAAGACTTTATTTAACGAGAGAACTAATTTGAATAACATATCAATCTTCCATGAGCCCTTAAATCATTTAGATATATTCCTGCACAGGCTAAAGCGGCATGTGAACGCAGACGACTAGGAACATAAAGGTGTTCCTTGTATTACATAAAACTAGATGTTCTATTCTGTTATATACTGATTAGTTGAATTGCAAGAATTCATTAAATTGAATAATTATACTAAATGCAACACTGTTTTACATATTGTATATGCAATTTCTTTTGAATAAGTTCAAAATACTTTAAAATGTTTACCTACTCATGCAGAAAGAATGTGCTTTAAATATCTTAAAGAATTTAGCACATTTAGCACATTAATGGTAAAGAAAACGTCAAAATATCGAATCGAAACAAAACGGCTATTATTTAACTATTAGTTTTTAAATTATTGAACAATAAGTCTTTAACTTTGCTGTTGCCGTGGGATCTGTAACTTACTTAGAGAGGTGTTCTTTTACAATCACGTTTACGAAGACATTGACATTTTTTTCTTCTCAACTGATCCCCTTGTTTATAGACTTAAAGTTTTCTTATTAAAGTATCAACATTTGGTATTATTTGTACACACATTTAAGTATTGATATTGGCTGACCTTTACCTTGACCTACTGACCCATATTTAACCTACACCAATCCTTAAAATTTAAATGTTTCCAAACGACATTAACTGCAGGAGGGGGTTAAACATCAGTCTTAGCTTGTATAAACAGTTTTAGTTTTCATTTACAGTGGTCAAAAGAATGCTTTTGTGGTAATTCTATGAGGAATTACCCAAAAGGCAATGGATGTAACATGAGATGCACAGGAAATAGAAATGAATACTGTGGCGGTGACTGGCATATATCAATGTATGATACCTGGTGTAAGTATAGAAAAATGTTTCTTTCATGTTTCAATTGGTGACGTACTTTATATATGTATCTATATATACCATGATCAAAATTTCAAACCCTAGTGTGTAAGATGGGTTATTTCCCTGTGAAATATCACAAATACAATGAAATATCTTTTCAGAGCAGAGCAAACAGCATAAAAATGCTGTATTTATAGTAGAAAAATGCCATCTGTTAAGTATTCATTATTATCATGAATGCACAAAAATAAGAAAAATAAATACAATTGAAAAATTGAAACATTTAATTCTTACAAACTATAAAACTTTATTTAAGTTATATGTGTTAATATCATATTTATTCACCTTACCGATTCAGTTCTAGATATATTGGACATGTGATATGGTCTAATATAAACGGTTATATGAAAATACAGTCGTTTATATGGGACCATATAACATTTCAGAAGCCTTTATAAGGAATTTACAATACTTCACAATTAATTTGTCAATTTTTATTTTATCTATAAACATGTATAAAGAAAATTTAATGGTGCCAACTATCCAATGAGAATTGTCGATACAAATACTCAGAGTTGTACGTTACAGGGTGTATAACTAGACCGTGCAAGAACGGAGCTTCGTGTAGAGATATCAATGCAAATAGCTATGTTTGCTCGTGTCCGGCTGGGTGGACGGGAACAAATTGTGATCAAGGTATGTCTAATATTTGAACAATAGTTAGCACTTATGGTAGAAAATGATGACAAATGATGAATAATGTTCATTACTATGATAAAGGCTATAATCCCCAATTGCCTATAAAATTGGGCGTGAGGATGACTATTAATATTTTTTCAAAGTATTTTTCTAAATTTTCATTCGTTTGGCTATTTAAAACCCCCATAGAAGACAAAAAAAACCATTATATAATAATATACATTTATATAACTAAACTTTCCAATGAGACAATTATGCATATCAAAATGAACGTGGAGGATCAAGTGACATACATGGCATTGATACAACATGTATAAACAACATTAGTATACATTGATTATTGATCAAAATGGAAATAATAAAATTGTTGATAGTTAATATTTGCATAACATATCTTTATGATTTTGTTTAAATGTTGGTATTAACGTTGATAACATGGCAAACAATGGTGATGAAGATGACAAAGTTATAAAAGATGATAAAGTTAAAATGAAATTTGATAATTACGATGTTATATGTATAAGGTTTGTTTAGATATCAATAAAAGGTAGGTTCAATCAGAAATGCTTCCTAAACTTAATACAAACAAAAATGTAAACCTAATCTGAAAATAATGCGGATTTCCGAATTTCATATCAGCAAAATCTAAGTTTAATAATTCTACATATAAGAAATGAAACTTTATTATTCTATTTCAGATGTAAATGAGTGTGCATCAAACCCGTGCAAAAACGGAGCAAGATGCCACAATGGAAGAAACAGTTACTCGTGCACTTGTGCCGCTGGTTGGACTGGATCCACCTGCACAACTGGTAATTGAACTGATTTTGAAACTTTAATTTAAATTTACTTCTTAACTGTTGGCACGGCAAGTTTTGGATATTCTTATTGAAATTCCTTTGGATTATAATTTACAATGAAATATTTGAAAGTCATAGTTTCGCAGATGCAATACGCATATTTAGCATTCCTATACTATACTATCGAATTCCCAAATTGCCTTTTGTTAAGAGAGACTGAAATGCTACATTCGTTGATTTGGTTGAGTCAGACCGGCATTGACTTAAGCCAGAAAAGCGTTATGTTGGGACGAGTCAACATTATGTTCAGCCAAATTACTCTAGCCAGTCTAGTATTTATCATATCGAGTGACCGTGACATCTGATGGAGTCAAATTTGCATAAGATGGAGATAAAATAAAAAATGCACAACGTCGGGTCCAGCTGGTATCCGATTGAGTAATTTGACATGAGTGCAGTGAAATTGCAGTGAAATGGACATAAAGTTTGGTAAAAATTGCACTATGTATGTTCAAATTGATATAAGTCTAGTCATGTTGACATTATGTCAATTAAATTAATCGTCCTCTATTAGGTGCATTTGCATTTGTATATCCTTATTTTCAGATGTCAATGAGTGTGCCAGTAACCCATGTAAAAATGGAGGCACTTGTTCTAACAGACAGAATGCATTTGCTTGCACGTGCGCTGCTGGATGGACTGGGACAACGTGCACAACGGGTAAGAGCTTTGACATTACTTTGAACGTGTCATTTAGTCATATGATGACGGGTGTTTTACCTTTTTGCTACATAGCCTAATGTGACATCAAATGGTGTTATTTCCATCTATCATCCTAGAAATAACTTGGTGAATATTTTTTTGCAATATTCCCCAGGGGCGAGTAATCTATGAAGATTTATGAAAAGGTTATGTTCTAATTCTCTCCCCTGGTCGTTCTGCTTTTACAAAATGTATAATAAAATGTATAGTACGCTCAAGCAATACTTTAGAGTTACAGTTACAATCAATACATAGCCTTTATAAATACATATAATAATGCTTTTAACCTCATTTTTAAGACGTTAACGAATGTGCGAGCAACCCATGCAAGAATGGAGCCACTTGTAATAATGGACGGAACAGCTACAGTTGCACGTGCGCTGGGGGCTGGACTGGGACCAATTGTGATCAGGGTATATAGTTAACATGTTCTTGATTTACGTGTGAATATTACATCTGAACGTTACAGTTTTATGAGTCTAGACGTTAATTGCGGTAACTTCCTAGAAGGCTGGCAATGGTATGAGTGAAATATTGATACTGTGTCCCGTTATATACCGGACAAGTGTTCGGTATATACCGGACAAGGCGCTTGAATGATGAAATGCTAAAACCACATCTTATCACCCACCCAGATACACTTTAAGACGCCAGATTCATCTCTTCACATTATCTTATATGCAAACATGAATATAAAATGTAACAATTGCCGAAACCGCGGTATTTTCTATAGACTTAGAATTTTCCGGAATTAGAATTTTCTCGCGCATGCGCAATTTGCGTTGGGCAAGAAATCCTTCGCCCTACATAGAAATATAGTAAAAGTTCATATACAATTCCGAGTTAGTTCAAGATAAACGGTAGAAAATTATATAAAACAGCTTTTAACAATTATAGAAAAGATGACTTTATAGCATTGTGGGGAAGAATACCATAAAAAGGCATGAAAAAGATACTTGTTTAATAATTTACGATCACGGAACTGTTTAAGAATTTACGATCACGGAACTGACACTGAGATCATTTTTTTAAAGAAGATTTGGAAATATATCTATTAGCAAATGAAACGTCAACTTATTTGCTGTTGAAATAGTTCATTTAAAAACAAAAGAAATTATATAGCATGAAATGGAGATAAATTATCATTCAGAAAAATATCAGAACAGGTGATAATGCATTTTAAGTGTTCAATATACCTGATTTTATCCTTTAACCAATTTGCCTGTGATGCAAACAGAAAAATTTAAGTCACATAAATAGATTTTAAATGACTGATTATTTTTTTTCAAAATCTTGAGATGTTAAGATGGGGTGTTTGAAAAAGAAATCACACACATTTTATCCGCTTCTTCGTAATACATTTTATTTTTAATTATGCACGTGACACAATTTTTCTCTTCTCAAAATCCATAAACATTGATGGTATATTTAAAAGTTACATAAATAACCATTTTAATAAGCGTAACTGATTAACTATATCATGATATTTAAACGTCCCGGTTCAATGAACAAACGTTCGGGTGCCAATCTGTTTGACACTTGCCGCCTGACCAATCCAGTTATTTAAAGGAAGTGTACAATACAAATTGTATAATATTATGTAATACAGGGGTAATAAAATTTTATCTTTAACACCCTGATGTTTCAATTTAAATTACTGATGGAAAAGTCGTCTAATGATACCTTAAACAAAGATATGTGTGTGCCCGTTTTGACCATTGAATTATTACTCCCGCACATTTTCGTAGATCTCTTAGAAAATAAATTCACGTTTTCTGTACTTACCGTCTTAAGTCATCCCAAAATTAATATTTTTGGGTGACATAACATGAAAAGCATCTATTAAAGCCTTAAAGTATGATAAACGGTAGACATCGTTACTGCTTTCTGCCCTACGCAGAATGCGCATGCGCGAAATGCAACATTCGTTGCTATGGAAAATCGTATTGTAAAAAGGTCTATACTAGAGGTACTGCTCCAACACTGTAGTGAGTTAAATCATATTCAAATTGGATCGTCCACGTGGCTTAAAAAAGTCCAGGAGGTTTTAATCAAGAAAGTTCTTGTGTATGTGGTGATGTCTTTTTTATAGCTTTGGTTCATCTCTTTGAGGTAAAAGAAACCGATACATGCCCAACCCATCACTAGTATTGTACATGTACTATTTTAAGTTATTTGATTAAAATTTCATTAGTAATGATGGGGACCGATTTTTTTTTTTTAATAACGGAACTTAATATTTTCAGTTCGACTGCTTGCTATTGTTTAATGTATTTATTACGAATACTATTACAGGAGATTTTAAGGTCATTTATAAATATAGAACAAAGTTCTATTGAAAGTATAAAAAACATTACATTATTTTTTATTATTATTATTTTTGCTTACCTTAATATGCTGAATTGTTGTATGTTATTAAGTTGAAACTTGCACCTTAACAGACAGAAGTTAAACAATTTATCGGTTCAATTTGAACACAGAACTGATGTTATTTTTATCGCTTCAGATATCAATGAATGTGCTAGCAACCCCTGTCAAAATGGCGGACGGTGTACCAACGGTCAGAACAGATTCACGTGCTCATGCACCGGTGGTTGGACAGGCGCCACATGTTCAGCGGGTAATATACAATTTAATGTTAAAAAAAATGGATTTTTGTTTCCACATAATTATGTCTCATAATTCTGTTAACTATACTTTACTATACTGCTTAATATAAAATATATTTTTGTTTCTCTGTAGATCTTAACGAATGCGCAAGTAACCCGTGCAAGAATGGCGGTGTATGCACGAATGGACGAAACCAATATTCATGTACATGTGCCGGTGGCTGGACGGGACTTACGTGCTCACAAGGTTTAGTTTACACATATTTTTTAAGCTCGATTTCAAAGAAAGTGTTAAGATTAATTTGACTACCATGCGAATCCTTTCTTGGACTTAACCAGTATGTTTTAATCAAATGGTGTCCCGAATTATTATTCACATTCCAGAGATATTTTCAAAAATTTTATGAATTGCATATCGTTTCGAATGAAATGCCCTGACTTTTTATTTGATATTGTATAATATTCAATGAAGCAATGCGCTCGAACTTTTAGGTATATGTCTGTATTCAGTGTTCTTTACATGATAAATATCTTTTATTTACAAAATGACTCAGCCCGCTAAGCTCTAAAGGTAGAGAGCATCAGATTGGTGATCTGCGGGGTCGCTAGTTCGATATTCCTGACGTTATTTCCCCGTGATTGATCAGTCCTCTCTCATAGCTGTTTCATGTGAGATTAGTAGACTGTTACCTACGGAGAAATCATTAAATAATAGTGTTAAGATGGATCAACTGCCGAGATATGACAAAGTTAAACTTGTTGAAATAAAAACAACAACAAATAAACAATAAACTTCATCAGCTATTTCAGTGTTTATAAAATATAACGGCATGTAATATGTTCCGCGTTTACTTTTCTTTTATAAACTATTGTTAACTTAGATATGGCCATTTTTATTCTAGACATCAATGAATGCGCGAGTAACCCTTGCAAAAATGGTGCCACATGTAATAACCTAGTAAACAGGTACACATGTACATGTACAGGAGGGTGGCAAGGCACAAACTGTGACCAAGGTATGTTGTACGCTGTTCGCGTAGTATTCATTATTAAATACAATAAATTTCACGAAAACAAATACCACAACTGAATATTGGTAAATGCCAGATTAGATTAGCAGTGGATTTTGAAATTTAGGATACGTTATGTTTAGATAATGATTCGTTTAGGTGACATTTTGTCTTTAAGTGAGTGCGTTCATGTCATATGAATAATACTCAAACCGACAGTCAATCATTTGCCACTATTATAAAAAACAGTCCAATCTTTTCAAATCAGCAGATTTTATACAGAAAATGTACATAAATACAATATATCAACTCGATTAAGTGGATTTACCATGCTTTTAACGGAAGTGATATGTAATCGATTTCCTTATTATTTTATCTTGATATTTTGTTCAGATGTGAATGAATGTGCCAGTAACCCGTGCAAGAATTCAGCCACGTGTACAAATGGACGGAATCAATACACGTGCACATGTGCAGCAGGCTGGATGTCAACAAACTGTGACGTAGGTAGGTGAATTCAGCGTTTGTAGCATTTTTAAAACGTGAGGACCTTTCTTTGTTGTTTATGCCTCACCACTTTTTTCATCATCAAAACGAGTAAATGAAAGAAATAAATATCATAATTACAGTTCGTAGAAATGGTTTTCGTTGTAATTAATTATTAATGCCTTTTCAAGCTTACATTTTGACATGACATGTCAAATATATATATTATATATTTTCTTAGCATAAAAATATGAAAAATCAATGCTTTCATTCAAAGATATCGACGAATGTGCTAGCAACCCGTGTCAGAATGGAGCCACGTGTCATAACGGACAGAACGGCTACACGTGCGAGTGTGCAGGTGGTTGGACTGGTACCCATTGCAGCCAGGGTAAAGTAATCTTATCACATTATTTCTATTTTTTTTTCTTAGAAAGACACAAAGAAGGAAATAAAATAATGAAAGTTAGAAAAGAAAACGGCAATACAGTCCGACTCATTTTGTTCATTTATTTAACGGAATAAAACTCCTAAGGGAGGGCAACACAATATTTGGCAGTCTATTTTATTTAATTATCCGGGGGTGTTTATTGATAGCGGCAAGGATATACACGTTTTTATCATTATTTTATATTATATCAAAACTGGAGACAAGTGAAGTAACGTCTAAGTAATTTTCATATGTTATAGCTAATTTATATGTAGGAACATATCATACACTGTAACATAATGAATTTGTAGTATGTTCATATTCCACCATAGTCATAACGTACGGAAACCTTACAATGGAAACATTTATACAGTGTTGTATCCATCATTTTTATCATTAGCACAATGTGCTTTTAACTTATTTCAGATATCGATGAATGTGCTAGCAATCCGTGCAAAAATGGCGCCGCATGTGCAAACGAACAGAACCGTTTTGTGTGCACGTGCACTGGTGGATGGACTGGTGCTGATTGTAATACTGGTAATTTCTTTACCTTTTTTTTATTTCACTTAAATATTCTTATAAATACACAATACATATTTTGAATCTTACATTGCGGTTTTGAAATTAACTTTATGATTAAACATTTGGTTCATTTTATTCTGTCATAAACAAGTTTGCAATCCAATATAGAGCCCAGGATCTTCTTGATTGTAACATAAGATTTCACTAAAAGTATGGAAAGTATAGAAAATGTTTTGGATTAAACATTCATTTTTTACCAACACCAAATGAATATAAATGCAATATATATAAAAAATGTACCAAGACAGTGCCTATGATAGTACTGGCTAATTTAATACATGTAGTTGACATATTAACTTTAATCTTTCGACTCATGTCACTCGTCCTAATCTTGTATCGAAAAAACCAAAACATTTTGAAAACAAGTGCCTGCCTTTAAATACAAAAAAAAAGCAACAACTTTATTGATAACCTTTTGACGAAAACACTTAAACATTCTTTATAAAATGAAGTTGGGACATACTTGTTTCTGTCTGAGTGTTAGTTTATTTTTTGTTTTTAGATGTTAATGAATGTGCTAGCAACCCGTGTCAGAATGGAGCCACGTGTAACAACTTGCAGAATCATTATACATGTACGTGCGCTGCTGGTTGGCAAGGAACTAACTGTGATCAGGGTAGGCCACTTTAACTTGTATACACTTATTAAAGTAATATAGTGTTAAATAGTAAACTATACATTAGAGTAGTCTCATTGCGTGTGATGAGCAAACAATTATTTTAAATTTGAATGATGGAATTAAAGAAAATTGCAAAGGGCTCTTACATTCCACTTAAATAACCAAAAAAAGAAGGTCAAAATATGCAAACATAACCATTACTTTATTAGTCACGAAGTTAAAAATATGGTAATAAATATTGCAAAATCAGTCATTAATCGCACATAACATGTAAATTATTATTTGAATCTTGAATCTTTTGACTTTTCAAAAAATCTGAGTATTTGTTTCTCAAATTTGATTTTCTTGAAAAATTTTGGCTCATCTTGAGGCATGCAACTCAAGAATCCGGCACAACTAGATAATAATTTACACACAAATGTAACGTTTTCTATAACTATTGAACTAATTTCTTCTACATGGATGTGAGAAATGGGGATGAATAATCATGATAGAATGTATGAAAATTAAAAAAGAATATAAATACATTGTATACTTGTCATTGACTAAAAATATTATACAAAAAGTGTCGGTTAATATGCGATTTAGTAATCAATGTAAATTCATTCCCTGTTCGAGCCGACAGTGATAATACGTTGCCACCAGTATACTTTTGGTTAGGTAACTTATTAATTCTAATCTTTTTATCTCCAAAACTAATAACTGAATATCCCAAGATGTGAGTTGAAAATCATTGTTAGTGTCTGGGTGGTTTTGTTTTATTTCTATGTTGTTTAAAAGAGAATCACATGTGTATTTTCTGTTCAGACATTGACGAATGCGCGAGCAATCCGTGCAAGAATGGTGCCACTTGCAACAACTTGTTAGATCGGTACACATGTGACTGTGCTGGTGGTTGGCAGGGTTATGATTGTGACGTTGGTAAAGTAACCTTTTTTAAATTTCACATGAATAATTAAGATAAGTAGAATTATCGTTGACACTAATTTACTTATTTTGTAACATAGTATGGTAATTAATTTTGATTATGTTTTCATAATTTTAAATATATCAACTGGTTGATTTGGATAATTTTTATGTTTAAATTTATACAACTTACCATCTATTTTACATATTGGAAAAATAGACATCGGGATTCTTACATTATTGTTTCTTGTTGGCATTTCTTTTATATAGGCAGCATAATTAATATTATTCTATTATTGTAAATATGTTGTTTTGATTTTTAATACTGTTAGAACTTTATAATTTATGATTGTTTACATTTACATTATGTCCTAGTTATTACATCGCTTGTTTTCGATGTCACTAGATCGTTTTACTTTTGTCTTATAATTTTCGGCTTTGGCGTGTCCTTTCATGTACAATAATGTTATATTATAAAAGCTCACCAAACGTTTTATTACGATTTTCTTCATGAAAGGAAACATAATATATGCACCTCTCTACTCTACACAGATATTGATGAATGTGCTAGCAACCCGTGTCAGAATGGCGCCACGTGCACTAATCTTCTGAACCACTACACATGCACGTGTGCCGGGGGTTGGCAAGGCTATGATTGTGATACTGGTAACTTATTTTACTTTTTTGATAAATGCTTTTGCCAGTGTTTTTTTTACAGGTCATTCAATTTTATGTCCTAATTACAGGATTGTAATAATGTGATATTTAAATTCATATGGAAGCATGAATGTATATTCTCAGAGTGTTCAAAGATTTTCACGGGTACTATCCTGTATTTCATTGCAAGTGAAAAAGAACTTGTGAATATCTTGTCTCATTTCATATAAAACCTAAAAAGGTTTTTAAAAAACTTGCATATTTAATTGTTACATGTATTTGGAAATTATACCTTTAATCATGTCACGAATATTTCAGATATCGATGAATGCGCGAGTAACCCGTGCTTTAACGGTGCAGCGTGTAATAATTTATTAGACAGATACACGTGTGATTGTACGGGTGGTTGGCAAGGATATGACTGTGATGTTGGTACGTATAAATTACTTTAGTAAAGGATTTTTTTTGTTCTTAAATAAATATATTTAGTTTATGCTTTGGTATGGAAATTAGTTAAAATGTGGAATTTTACAGTCTGTTAGATTTATAAAGTGTGTAATAATTATGTTATCAGGACGACAGCGCGTGTGTATTTGGAAATACAAGCATTTGTAACAGTTACCAACGTCCCCGCGCCCCAGGGAAAGTTTATATGAAGCATAAAATTGTGCTATTTCAAAAGATTGAGGTATGGATCTCCGGACTTTCAGTCCAAAATTATGATCAATGCTAGATTTGCAAATGCAACAATAAATTCATTTAAGAAATAAAATGAAACACGGAATTTAAAAATAAATCATGTTAAGCTTTGACCTCTAAGTGTGATCTTGACATTGGAGGAAGGGGTGCAGGTATTGTGCATGGCATATTGTCTTATTATTGTAACTATTTGTGCCAAGTATTATCAAAATCCCTTGAACTAAGAAGAAGTTATAGATCAGACACAGAATGTACCCAATAGCAGATTATGTTAATCTTTGACCTCTAATTATGACTTTGGAGGTAGGGACCCATGTGTTCATATTCCACAATAGTCTTAAACAGAACGAGTGAAGTACGGAATCCGTACAAAGCAAACATTTATACAGTGTTGTTTCCATCATTTTTTTATATGCCCGAAAAAATTTCGGGCATATTATGTTATACCCCCTGGCGTCCGTCCATCCGTCTGTCCGGGCGAACATCCAATGGTTTATGAGCTTCATTCCGTTCATAATTTTGATTAAAGAAAGAAGGAAATCCCATAAAACGACTGGTTTATGTGGTAATTTTACTGGTTTATGGGGAAAATGCCACATAAAGATCAAAGAAAAGGCACATTAACCCAAATGTTGGCACGTCCGTCCGTCTGTCCGTTAGCAATTGTGTTTCCGGAGCATATCTTAAAGGAATACTCAGGTAAATATATGACAAAATATTAAATTTACCATATTTACTTCACTTACGCTATTAAAATAAAGTTTTTAAAGTGATTAAAAGTCTCAGCATGTTTTTTTCTGTATAAATACTTTATAATGTTAGTTTAAAACGTAAATAAGACTACAGTATGTTGGACGAAATGAGGACGCAGACAGAACTAATAAGTAGTTTTAAAACAAGTCATTTGACAATTACAATCCCTAGAAGTTAAAGAAAAATAACAAATATTGTGAATATTGCAAGATTAAAGCAAGCCTAAGTCGCTCATTTGACAGGCTCTTTTATGTTTTTATAGTTCACGGTGATAACTATTGTGAAATCTAAATGCTCTTACCTGACCCGCGTGGGTCAGGTTAGGAGAAAAACATTTATTTCTTTATATGGAGAAAAATTTTGTTCCCTAGATTACTTAGTCTATTCATTTGGATGACATTTATAGAATATTGGACAGAAAATTAAAATCTAAAAGATGAAAATTTTGCCTGTGTCTCCCTTTAAGTTTCATTTGGCCCACAATATTCAAACTTCATAGGATGATTGTCAATATTAGGTAGAAAACCCCTATTGATTTTAGGGTCAAAAGGTCATAGGTCAATATCACTATTACCTTAAAACTGAAAACAGTTTCCGGAGCACAACTAAAGTTCTGTTTGGCCCACAGTGTTCAAACTTCATAGGATGATAGTCTATATTGAGTAGAAGATCCATATAATTTAAGGGTCACAATGTCACAGGTCAAGGTCATTCTTACTTTTAAACTGAAAACAGTTTCCGGGGCATAACTTACGTTCCATTTAGCCCACAATATTCAAACTTCATAGTATGATTGTCCATATTAAGTTGAAGACCCCTATTGATTTTGGGGTCACAAGGTCAAAGGTCAAAGTCACTATTCCCTAGAACAGAAAACAGTTTCAAAAACATTACTTAAGTTCTATTTGTCCCACAGTGTTCAAACTTCATAGGATGATTGTCAATATTGGGAAGAATACCCCAATTGATTTTGTGGTCACAAGATCAATTTGAAAGTTCATGGTTGCTATTACCTCAAAACTGAAAACAGTTTCCAGAGCATAACTTTAGTTCCATTTGGCCCACAATATTCAAACTTCATAGGAGGATTGATATTTGAAAGAGGTTATACTTTACTTAATTCCATTCTCTTACAAATGCTTCATCCTGACTAAATTAAAAAAAAAAAACACTTTCGGGCATATAATGCTTCGCCTAGCTGTGCTCTTGTTGTCACTAGCACAATGTGCTTTTAACTTATTTCAGATATCGATGAATGTGCTAGTAATCCGTGCAAAAATGGCGCCGCATGTGCGAACGAACAGAACCGTTTTGTGTGCACGTGCACTGGTGGCTGGACTGGTACTGACTGTAATACTGGTAATATTTTCTTAAATTTACTTTCTTTTTAATTTTTGTTTTCATTTAAATATTGCTATAAATACAAAATATATATATTTCAATATATTTTGAATCAAACAAAACGATTGTGAAATCAACTTCATAATTAGATATTTATTTCATTTATTTCTCTGTCGTTATTTTATGAAAAATCAAGTATGCGATCCATTTGAGAGCCAGGGGTCAATAAGATTTCACCAGTAAAACAGTAAAGAAAATTCTTAAAGTTAAACATTCATTTTTACCAACGCGAAATGAATTTAAAGGAATATATACAAATGTACAAAGACAGTGCTTAAGAGTGTTATGGTTATTTAACAAACAACAGAGCTGAACCCTTCGGATGCCAGTTAAATATAAAAATTTGAAACTTTCGTCTTCGTGTCATCGACTTGGTTTAATGTTTATCTTTTGGTGTGTGTCACTCGTTCTTTTCTTGCATCGAAACAATTAAGAGGATGAAAACAAGAGTCTGTCTCTGTATAATAACAACTTTATCGAACACTTTTTGAGGAAAAAACTTAAACATTCTATATAAAATAAAGTTGGGAGATACATGTTTTTTGTCTGAGTGTTAGTTTATTTTTTGTTTTTAGATGTCAATGAATGTGCTAGCAACCCGTGTCAGAATGGAGCCACGTGTAACAACTTGCAGAATCATTACACATGTACGTGCGCTGCTGGTTGGCAAGGAACTAACTGTGATCAGGGTAGGTCAATTTTACTTGTATACACTTTTTATAGTATTATAGTTTTGAATAGTTAAATATACATTGAAGAAGCTTTAATTTTCTGTGATGAGCAAACAATAATTTCAAGTTTGATTTTGTTTCGAAAGCACTAAATCCTATAGTTGTTCCTAGAAAAACATCGTGAGATGAATATAAATAGTAATTCACACATTGCAAAGGGCTTTAAATTCCACGTACATTACCAAAACAGGTCAAAACATGCAAAGATAACATTTACTGCGTTACTCACGCATTAGAGAAAAGCTGATAAATACGGCAAAATCAGTAATTAATCGCACATGACATGTGAATCCGATAACTTTGTCAAAGCTTTTGGTAAAGTTTTCTCGAAAAGGTGGCCGATTAGCAGAAATCGAACAATGGACGTATAAAGGTATTAAAATAGATGTGGTAGAATCGTTTACTTATTTGGGATTTATGGTCAGTACTGGCGGTTCATTCAAGCGTGGCATAGACACTTTATCTGGTAAAGCCGGGAAAGCTGTGCACTCACTATATACATTAACTAGAGGCATGGATATACCAATTAACATTCAATTCCACTTATTCGATTCATACGTGTCCCCAATCTTATGCTATTCGTCCGAAATATGGGGATTTTCAAAGGCTGATACAATTGAAAGAGTTCATAGGAAATTTATTAAAAGTGTGTTGAACGTTAAAATGTCCACAAGCAATCTAGCGATATATGGCGAAACAGGAAGAACGCCTCTTTTTATAAATTGGAGTATAAGGATTATTAAATATTGGTTTAAACTTGTTAACAATAACGTAAACTGTATATTACAAAATGTGTATAACAATATGTTTTTGTGGTGTGAAAAAGGAGAAAATAATTGGCTGTTTAAAGTTAAGACATTACTAAATAGAATAGGATTTGGCGAGGTGTGGTTATTTCCATCATCAGTTGAGCCAAGATTATTTATACCTACATTGAGATTAAGACTGATGGACATTTACATTTCAGAGTGGCGGGCTAAAGTGAACGGTAGCCCAAGTCTGGTATTTTTCAGGGAAATTAAAGAGAGGTTTGAACTGTCAAAATATCTTTTGATAATTGAAAATAAGAAACATAGACAATATTTATCAAAGCTTAGAATGTCATCTCATTGGCTAAATATAGAATACGGTCGACATAGAAATATAGAAAGACAAAATAGACTGTGTGAATTATGCGAACAATGTACAATAGAAGATGAATATCATTTTGTCTTGGAATGTAGTTTTTATAATACATTACGTATTAGGTATATCCCAAGATATTTCCGTGTTAGACCAAGTATGGTAAAATTTGTTGAACTGATGAAAACTGAGAGTAAACCATTGCTTTATAAAATTTCAGTGTATATAAAACATGCTTTCCATAAACGACAAGAATTTTTAAATGCCGCGTAGAGGAAGAACTACACATGTATTGCATTTACTAATATCCGGAAAGAGTAATTTATTATCAGTAACATTTTTTGTTAATCGATTTATGTGATATCTAAACTTTAGAAACACTCTCTTTGATTATGTAACTTGTATATAATTATGTGTTTTAACTATGTCATTGTTGTCACAAATGTATTTATATATTGGTTGATGTCGATGTGCTGTATATGCATAAGACTGAATAAATTTTCTGTTCTGTTCTGTTCTCAAAATCGATGTTCTTTAAATAGTTTGGCTCATTTGGAAGCATACAACTCCCGAATACTACACAACTAGACATTATTTACATACAGGTGTAACGTTTTATTTAACTATTGAACTATTTTCTTCTATATGGATGTGAGAAATGGGGATAAATAATCATGAAAGAATGTATGAAAAATTAAAAAAAAATATGAATATACTTTTCATTGTAAAAATGTTATACAGAAAGTGTCGGTTAATATGCGATTCAGTAATCAATGTTTATTCCAAACAATGATAAGCCGTTGACACCAGTATACATAATCTTTTGGCTAGATAACTTTTTGATTCTAATCTTTATTTCTCCAAAACTGATAACTGAATATAACGGAAGCGTCCTGGTGCCAATTTAACATGTTCTATAAAAAAAGATAACTCCTACGTAAGAGATAAAAAAGCCTAATTAGGAGTTTACAACTCCTACGTAGGACTTTATAAATCCTACGTAGAAGAACACTTATAAAGTACTTTAAAACTCCTAATTAGGTTTTTCTATATCCTACGTAGGAGTTATAAACTCCTAATTAGGCTTTTTTTTTTAACTCCTACGTAGGAGTTATAAAGTCCTACGTAGGAGTTATCTTTTTTTTATAGAACATTTTCAATTGGCACCAGGACGCTTCCGTAGAATATCCCAAGATGTGATTTGAAAATCATTTTTAGTGTCTGGGTGTTTTTGTTTAATTCACATGTATATTATCTATTCAGACATTGACGAATGCGCGAGCAATCCGTGCAAGAATGGAGCCACTTGTAATAACTTGTTAGATCTGTACACATGTGACTGTGCTGGTGGTTGGCAGGGTTATGATTGTGACGTTGGTAAAGTAACCTTTTTTTTTAATTTCACATAAATTATTAAGATAAGTAGAATTTTCCTTGACACTACTTTACTAATTTTGTAAAATAGGATGGTAATTAATTTTGATATGTTCTGTTTCCATACTTGTAAATATATCAGCTGGTTGTATTGGATATATCTTATGTTTAAATTTATATTACTTTATCATCTATTTTATAACACATATTAAAATGTGACATTGCAATTCTAACTTTTTTGTTTTGTGTTGGCATTTCTTATTATATATGCAGGATAATTAAGATTATTCTATTATTATAAAGATTTATCTGTTATGTTTTTGTAATAACTTTAAATTTCATGATTGTTTATATTACATGCTATGTCCTAGTAATTAAATCGTTTGTTTTCGATGTAACTAGACTGATGTACATTTTTCCCATGATTTGTGGCGTTGTCGTCCCCATTCGTGTAGCGATATATTATAAAAGCTCACCAAACTTTTCATTATGTTTTTCTTCATTTTATCAAATTGTTTAGTATACCTTAATGAAAGGACACATAATATATGTACCTCTTTTCTCTACACAGATATTGATGAATGTGCTAGCAACCCTTGTCAGAATGGAGCCACGTGCAACAATCTTCTGAACCACTACACATGCACTTGTGCCGGGGGTTGGCAAGGCTATGATTGTGATACTGGTAACTTATTTTACTTTTTGATAAATGATTTTGCCAGTTTTTTACAGGATTGTTTTTTTGTTTGTTTGTATTATTTTACGCATTTACCCAACAGTCTTTCAGTCATATAGGCGGGTAGTTTCCTAACAGGATTGTAATAATGTGATATTTAAATTCATATGGAAGCATGCATGTATATTCCTAGAGTGTTCATAGATTTCATTAGTACTATCCTGTATTTCATTGTAAGTGAAAAAAAACTAGTGTAGATTCAATATCTGGTCTTATTTTATATAAAACCTAAAAAAAAAGATTTATAACTTGAATATTAAGTTGTTACATGAATTGAAATATTTGTTTGGAAATTATATCTTTAATCATGTCACGAATATTTCAGATATCGATGAATGCGCAAGTAACCCGTGCTTTAACGGTGCAACATGTAATAATTTATTAGACAGATACACGTGTGATTGTACTGGTGGTTGGCAAGGATATGACTGTGATGTTGGTACGGCATTACTAACTTTAGTCAAGGATTTTTTTCTAGTTCTTAAATCCATAAATTTTGTTTATGTTTTGATATGAAAATTAATGAAAATGTGGAATTTTACAGTCTGATGAATTTATGAAGTGTGTAATAATTATGTTATCAGGAAGACAAAGCTTCTAAATGTGATGATTTTGAAAAAAATCCACACTTACATGAATGGATAACTTACCACGTTTTGGTAAAAATCAAAACGTATAAGATTTAAAAAACCAAATAATGAGTATAGTGTATACAGCAATATCTCTGATGCCTCCAGATTGAATTTTGAAAATGAGTATAAAGTTTTCCAAAATACGCGCACGATAGAATGACGAATGCACGAAATCGCTGCTAAATGGATAATAACACAAAAAAGACCTTAACATTGCAGCGTGATATTTTGGTCTCTCACATTTTGATCTCACACATCTTATTCTGTTAACGTTCAACATTCAACAATTATGTGCTAAAAGAAAGACACATTGTGTTTTACAGATGGTTTTAGAAACTAACATAACATTATGGAATCAACAAAATCTTCTAGAAAAACATGTCATCACTTTACTGCATTAAATTACGAAGTATCTGTTAATTCTGTTTCACAAGAAGTGCATTGTAACACCGCACTTTGGGGTCAAACGCACTTTGGGGTCCGACCCCAAAGTGCGTTAAACTTCGCACCGCACTTTGGGGTCCAACGCACTTTGGGGTCAAAATCGAGAAATTGACCCCAAAGTGCGTTAATATGCTACATATCAACGCACTTTGGGTTCAGGGGTATAAAGGTGTAATCTGAGTTCTGCTTAAATACTGAGTACTGACTTATTTTCGATCTGCGACATTGAAAAATTTGAGGTGGAGTTCAAGATGGCGGTCAATACTTTATGATGCTGAAGTGATAAAAGTTTCATTAATTTTACCACTTGAAATATCTGTTCATATTACAAAATTACGTTGGCATAATAAAGATATTTGCATTTTTTTTGTTTTTAGTTTTGCATACATATTTCATTTTAGTTTTGCGTACATATTTTTTTTCAGTTTTGTATACATATTGTTTTTTTAGTTTTGCATACATATTTTATTTTACTTTTCGCACACATTTTATTTTTGTTTTTTTCGTACATATTTTAGCCAATCAAAACAGCCTTCACATCTCATAACAGCCCATAGTTGAGTATAAAACTAGCACAGTGGTTTGGACACATTTCGGACCATTTTTGGGATCGGCCCTGTCGTTTTCGGCAGGGCAAAGATGGTTTCGGCCAACCCTTTTCGGCCCATTTTGTAAATTATATGTATCTTATATAATTATTGTTTTTTTTTATTATTATATACTATAATATCAGTGTCTTTTTTTTTTGAAAGGGCAATTGATTGGTGATCAGTTATTATTCCATGAATACGCATCACTCAACCCCACCCATAAACCAAGCCGACCACTGGTAAAATCTTCGCCCTGCGAGGGGGGATACTCAGATCATGACATTACTGCCTTATGCCCCGGGACAGCGCATACATTTAAACACGATTTTTTTATAACGCGCAGTCCTCCGGGGCAAGAGAGGTGGTTACAACCAGATAATGTGCAGAACTTATATGCCAGGTATACCGGCTCAAGGTCGGGGACACCTACAGATCAAAGGATTAAAACTTGGGTTTCATTCTCCTTAACCCCATGAAGGATTTTAAGTGTTGTTATTTTTTTTGATACCTCCAAAAATGAAAATGTTGGTGCATTTGCAAATGGGGTACTGTAATTACCAGATGGCGAAGTGTTTGAAAATGGTGTTTCACAAATGGCGTAATTATCCAAACCTCTACTTTACAAATGGCGTCATGTACAAATATGTACGAAAAAAAATATGTACAAAAAACTAAAATAAAATATGTACAAAAACCTAAAATAGAATATGTATGCAAACTATTCAAGAATACGTATGCAAAACTAAAAAGGAATACGTATGCAAAACTAATAAACGTATGTATTTAAAACAAAAACAAAATTATGTACGACATACAAAAAAAAATATGTACGAAAAAAAAAAAGTATCCAAAAAATTCAAATGTCACTTTTATGCCACCGTTCATAAAATCAAGTACAGAAATTGTGTATCCCTAAAATTAAAAGATGCTGCGAAAAATATCCTGTTTTGTCAGTCATTTATTTGATTACTTTTGGTGCCATATTGAGCCCATTTAAATATGTTTGGAATGAAATAAAATGCAGTTAACATTTTTTCCAAAGAACTATATTGCAATGTCGTGGTGAAACATCAAGTTTTTCAATCGGACTATAAATAGTGATTTTTACAGATACATTATTAAGCTTATCAACAAATTTAAGGGTTTTTGTAAGCTCCACAACAACCGTTCGCCAGAGGCTTTTTTATGGGAAATCTTACATACTTCTTTAGAAAGAGCAAACATGAATTTTATAATTTTAAAATAATGGTATCAGAGAAATGTAAGATGCTTGTTACCTGAATAAACAAGCGATAAATGTGAAATTATTTGTCATAAAAGTAGTCAGAACAATGTAGAATTTGACTTCCATATAAAATACTAATTCACTATAACTGTACTCATCATTGCCAAAAAGCAACAGATGAAAAAGATGGTTCAGGTAATTGGCCAATGTGTATTTTTTGGATAATATAGAAGAACATCAAAGTAAAAAAGCTTTTAAGAAAAACAAGTAAAAGCATAATGGGCCTTTAAAACGTTATTTTTAACCCTCGGCGGGATCGATACTCCACAATTCCCTCTTTACCCCCAGTGAGAATTTTACATTATTCTGAAGCTCCGCTCTTAATGTGCGACTACTTAAATATTAGTACTGTCTGTACGGACTACTACTTAAAGCCGTATCTACACCTAGTCAAGCTTCTTATATGTCACATTTAGCTAAATAAATGGCTCTTTCAACATATTATCAGGCACATTATTTTTTACTGAAATGTCTTTCTAAAATTTCCAAGAATTTATACCTTTGTCTATGCTAAGACTCATATTTCTATAAAATGTGACTAAATTAAATAAAAAACGGGAAAATAATGCATTTAGCTAAAAACAATGGAGTTAATTAAAGGTGTACATTCTTTTAAAATAAATGGAACATTTGATAAAAATATTTTTAGCTTAATAATTGATACAAATTCTTTATTTGGTGATTTATTTGGTGAAAGTTCTTCACTTACGCATAATCAAAACCATTTAAATCCCTATTCATTCTACTATAATTCAAGGCACATGTTTGTGTCTATTGAATACCTTGATTTTTTATTTTTACCATTGGCTTTGGCTACAATATATTATTTAAAACATAATGAACATTAATTTTCTATGACCCCAAAGTGCGGTCGTTTGCCTGATGTTAAAAAATGCATATGTACCTGTTTAACGCACTTTGGGGTCGAAATTGGACCACAAAGTGCGTAACGCACTCTGGGGTCGGACCCCAAAGTACGTAACGCACTTTGGGGTTTGACCCCAAAGTGCGTTTGACCCCAAAGTGCGGTGTTACAGTGCATTATCATAACATGAGGTTTTGGACAACTTGTAATTGACGAAATGTAAATTTTACTTGACATAATGTAATAATACAATGAAAGCATGTGTTATCAAAAGTATTTGATGATCATGTGCCTTTATCTAAAAACGAAAAGAAAATTTAACAAGACAAACAACAACCACAACAAAACAGCAATAACATCTCCAAAACAACAATAGAAAAAGCAAAAAAAAAAAAAAAAAAAAAAAAAAAAAAAAAAAAAACAAACAAAAAAAACTCTGACTAGTGATGATAAAATCTGAATGAAATTGTAATCTATGTCAATATGACTAAGTAATACGTAGATTTGAACTTTAATCAAATTGGAATAACGTTTAATAAAATTGAAACAAAGAAAATATAAACAATGACAAGGATATTATACATGTATTTAAAACTGTTATTATTTTTTTTTCCTGTAAACAACAAATTTCTCTAATTTCAGATATTGATGAATGTCTTAGTAGCCCGTGTATTAATGGTACCTGCTCGAATCTTCAGAATGCGTACTCGTGTACATGTTTCCCAAAATACACAGCCAGAAATTGTGATTACTGTAAGTTATATCTTTGTGTTTCTTTTGAATGGAAAAAAAGCTACCTTTAATATTGAATAAATTTAGAAAAATATTTGATGGTAGTTTCGAAATAATTTGTATATTTGTATCATTTGAAAATGATCTTTAACAGTTTCATAATAATGCAGAACAACATTTTGAAAAGTTTTTAATGATTATATTTTTAAAGTGATCGGAAGTCCAATGGATGGTCAGTGGGGTCAATGGGCGTCATGGCAGGGGTGCTCAGCTACCTGTGGAACCGGAAGGAAACGCCGATACCGAGCATGTGACGACCCTCCACCCGATTACGGTGGACAACCATGTGTGGGTGACGGGTTCGACGAAACATCGTGCTCCGGTGGAAGTGCATGCCCTGGTATGTTACTTCCTGTCTATTTATGAGTAATTTACTCGCTTAATATTTGGAATGAACTGATCTATTTTATCAATCTGGACAAAACCACGTGTCACCTAAAAATTAGCGAAAATTATTGCTTAAGTACTGACTGAAAAAACTCAGAGCACACCATGGTGTGATAGCATAAATGTGTCGCCGGTTTATCCGATTTTGCACGGATCGCATGTTACCACCAGTAAGCGAAAAAAAGTATAATACAAAGATATTATTATTATAAATGTTTCTATGGCGTATCAATTAGCACAATATTGGTACCTTATATGAGCATATAAAGAAAACAAACTGAGTATGTACGTTTTGATCATACGTTAGTAAAACTAAAAGTGCCTTCTTATTTAATAGTTTTATCGACATAGAGTCGATACGAAAATACAGTTTGTTATAAGAATTTCTCAAACTGTTCCTTCATTATGATTTTTTTTGTTTTGTTTTTTGAATTTGACGTCTGTATCTGTAAGAAGATGAATTTAATACATAATAAATTTCTTTCAAGTAAAATTCAAAATAATGTGAAATTAGCAATTTTTCCCTATCATGCAACAACCAAAAAAACGCAAAACAAACCTAACATGTCAAAATAACGGTCTTTCTATTATAATGTCCTATTCATCTACATGTACTTTACATACATTTGTTTCAGTTGTTATTGACGGAAACTGGGGAGCCTGGACTACTGTTTCTTCGTGCAGCGCCACCTGTGGTGCAGGAAAATCACTGAAGACTCGACAGTGCGATAATCCAGCACCTAGCAATGGCGGTAATGTGTGCAGCGGTGATGCTGCTGTTCTGTCAACTTGTGTTCTAGCAAACTGCACCGCGGCAAGTGGCTCGAACTCAAACGGAGGTGCTTATGTCAATGTAAGAATAACCTTTTTAATCATATATATATACAAGTACATTTTACTCTAACCAAGCAAACAAAAATACGGCGTATAGAAAACACTTTTTCACGAAAATGTACTTATCACTTTTAGATGATAGATATCAAAATGATACACTGTTAGCAGCGTATAAATTTATTCCAACTCATAACAATTTTTACTTTTCTATCTGTTGGGCAAATATACGCATACATAATAATAATACATGAAATAAACCCCACTCCCCCCAAAAAAAACAACAAAAAAAAAAAAAACAAAAAAAAACAAAAAAAAAACAACACACACACACACAAACACAAACATAACAACACCACCAACAACAAAAGCAAATACTGTCTTAAATGTTTTCAATCTTACTTTGCGTGGAATCATATTATATAACTAACAAATATTCCACCCTTTGTACATGCTTGTGTCTTAATGCCAACATAGTGGTACCGTATGTCTTCCTAAACCAATAAAGCTGGAAAGTTTACCAAGTATTAAAAAAAATATCAAGAATTAAATGGACATATCTGTTTATTTCTCTTTTTTACTTTATTTTATTTAGAAATGTCCAAATGGCTATTTCTCGTGCTTCTCCGGGAGGATCACGTGCATTCAAGACGTTTTCAAATGTGACTGTTTTAATGACTGTGATGACGGAAGTGATGAGAACATGCAGTGGGCCGGATGTGCTCAATTATGTCCAGATAGCGGCTCAGGTATATACACCGAATTAAATTATAAAAGTGGTAATAAAGGTTCATTCCCTAATCATGTAATTAATTATATAGAGGATATTGAATGAGTGTAGGTTTAATACTAAATTTATTGAACGAGTTGAATAAAATCATATTATGCGAGCCTCTGGCGAGCATTATATTGTTTTATTCAACGAGTTCAATAAATTTAGTATTGAATCTACACGAGTATAATATTCTATTTATCACATATATAAAATAAGAACGGTAACTTGTTAAAAAGAGTCATTTTTCTTTGACGCGCCTATAGTGTAACACTAACATTAGCGCGCTTTAACGCTATGTTTATAGCGCAAATGACGTGACGTCAAAGTGTTATTACACTAGTGTAATATTGTCTAGTGTTATATCGTTTTTATTCAATGGCTTTATTACACTCCTGTGCCGCGGTTTATGTGATAAATATATATATACAATTACGTAAATGTATCCTGCATTATTTTGCATTGTATATCAACATGATATATGTGTATGATACAGTCGATTTTCATTATTGTTTTCCGTTAGGAAATTGCTATTAAAAATTACATATAAGAGAACTTTGGAATGGGCTGTGGCAAGAAAGAAAAATATATTTGTAATTTTGCGTGTGTTTAATTGTTTAAATTGTTAAACAGTTTTATTGACTGAATTTCGATTATTTTATACAATAACAGTTTAACAGTAAATATAATTGAATATGTAATTATTTCGTTACATTAATGACAAACATAATTATCCAAATTTAGTTAGATATTTAAAATATGCTCGTATTTTTCTAACAATGAATGGATATCAGGAACAAGACTCAAAATGATGCTATTTCTTACACAAACTACGTAAATATGGTTTGAAAAATAATATTCGTCCTGTTATGAAGTGGCAAAGACAAATCACGTTTGGCAGGCTAATGGTCTATATTCAATCTTAACACTTTCATTTTATTTTTCCAGAATGCGCATGTGCGAAATGCCTTTTCCGTTTCTAAGAAAATATTGTTATGTCAAAACGTCCATTGAATTCACACAACACTAGATTTATCTAATTTACTATAATTTCAGGTATACAAAGTTCAAACCTGATGATGATGATGATGTTGATGAGCCTGGTATTAGCTGTTGTCAGGAATATATTTTAGAACAAAGAAATCGTAAAATAATCAACGATTTATGTGGGAAAAAATTTTCTAATCATTTTGGAACCAGCCTCTTGCCAATTAAATTTGAAAGTTTATTGAACAATCATGTATACAATTTAAGTATATGTATAACCTTAAATATTTTGATTTCTAATTCAAAAATATACAAAGATTATAGTGGTTTTGTTTGCTTGCGTCAGTCTCTGTGTTTTGTTTTTCTTATTTCGTTAGAACTAACAGTGCTTTCATGTATACACGTTGTGTCAAATAATGTTGCCACTTTATACTCTCTTTGTATGTGCTATCCTTTAAGTCTTCAGAATAAATGTGTTTGCGCATAAGTTTCTTTTGCTTGTACCTTTGATTATCCTGTCAACAATTTCTATGATCTGAAAGTGCGATTAACTTAAGGCCTCAACAGACGGTAGGATTTTGCAGTACAACACCCATTAAAACTAAGATGTACAAGTTAATATTACTGTGTGAAGGCTTCTATTTCTTGAATTCATACAACTTAAAATAGATAAAATAAGAATCCCTAAAGAAAGCCTAACACGGCAAAATTGAAAATGTTGCAGGCTCGGTTTGATTGAGCCTGTTCATGGACGGTACTGTCAAGTGCAAACTACCGTCCACGCCTCCTAGCATCGGCTTAAGCAAAATTCAACATTTAACATGAACTGGTACAATTTTGAAACATCCGCAGATGTATTCATATGGCGGTTATTATGGAACCTTCAATGTGACACGTAAGTGCCATTCCATGAAAAGCGGCATATGATCCCTAAGTAAAAAAATGCGTGTGCCCTAAACGAGAAAACAATGGGCGGAACTAAATAAAATGGAATTTTGAAAGGGGATCAGAGGTTATGAAGTCTGCATATCACAGATAAGACGTCAAAAGACAAATGAATTTAAAAAGCAGACAACATATCCTAAGGGTGAATTAACAGTATTCAAGTGAGGAATACTATAACCACCCAACAAGAAAATAGCCGAATAGAAAGAACTAAATAACCACAAGCACAACAATACTAGACTTACAGGATAGGACATGTTCTATCCCTTAATCCTTGCTGTACAGACCTCCTATGATGACAGGTGAAATATTACCCAATTATCTCCTGATAATGTGTTTAATTAATTAAATTCCAGAACATGTAAACATTGTAGAAAGATGGGGGTAAAATGATGTTGAAAAATTATTCAGGAGAACCAAAGTTGTAGCAAGTTCGAAACCCAAAATATTTTTAGTGAGTATGTAAGTATGTAAGGGATCAATTAGGAGGGAACTGTTTTTAAGGGATTATCCTGATGATTCTTACAATGCAGAATTATTGTCAGATTGCAAGTGTTGTATTGCTTTGAAAATTGTACATCAAATCTCTAATTAGTGATTACAACTAAATCCTGCCATCTGCAATCTATTTATGAGAATATTGCATGGATAAGTGCATCAACTGATCGATGTGAGGATTTCATTTTTTTGTAGACTTTTTGAGGTCAGTCGAGTTCTCGAGTTCTTTTGAAACGTTTTAACTTGATTACATAACAAATATAACTGTGCTGTTAGGATAAACAACATATACGTCACCATTTTATCATTTTAAAAACTAAGCATTCATCATATCTGCTGCAACATTTAGAAAAAAAATCTTTGTATTGAACAGCAGAGATTTAAAAAAAATAAGTTAACTGTGTGTCGAGGGCCTTCATAACCATGAAATCTATAGCAAAAAATAACGTACGAAAAAGTAACTAGTATGTTTTGATTCTTACACTTGAAATAAAGAAAAGGTAATTCCGAAATAACTCCCTAAACGGCATTTAAATGCTTTACAATAGTAGTCGAGATTTTTTAAGGTATACATACATGTTCATCATTTCATTATTATTACTTATAATAACAATTATTGAGGATTTATATTAGAAAAAAAGAGAACATGTTTAAAAATATACCCCCTCCCATTAAAAAAGATAAAAAAATACTCACTTGAATGAGCCGTCTATTCACTTTATCTTATTGCAAATAATAGTACAGTCGACTCTCGTTATCTCGAAGTCATCGGGACCGTCCAAAAAATATCGAGTTAACGAAATGTCGAGATAAACATATAAGGGTTTGAATAAGACAGAAACTGATTTTTACAAAAGACATGTGCATACCGTATGTCAAATGAACTATGATATATCCCCATGTCTTGTTTTCATAGGCCTAGTCAATATTTAACAAAGTAACATTAGTGGATGTTGACCAGCGAAAATACGGGTTTCTGTGATAAAAACACATAGTGAGGTTTACTCAGTAATACACCAATATAGTGAAAACATTGTTTTCAGGGTGGTTGATCCGGATATCCTCCCGGGTTATTTATCAGGTCTTTCTCGATGTTGTTCGACCGCTGATTGATTTGGTGGTGATGTTGTGAAACAATATTGCAACAATAGCGTTTCTATACTTTCACTATTTCATTTACATTTAAAGTCATAATGAATTGATACAGTGTTCGAATATTTATAAAGAACGTAAAATTTACTCATTTTGGAAATAAGTCAGTCAACACCCTAAATAGATTAACTTTTATAAAAACAGCTAAACATGTTACAAACATAATCATCATGATGACACGCGCTATTGAGCTATTATCGTCTAGTTTGTGTTTTTCACACGTCTGAAGGGAACAGACGAAAGAAAACTATTACTCGAGATAAACAAAGGATAATAGTGTGAAAATGACTGTTGGGGCTGAAATCGTACATCGAGATACTGAAAATATCGAAATAAAAATATCGAGATAAATATTTCCAATATAGCTAAAGAAGAAAGAAAATCGGGACTTTCAAAATTTCATCGAGATAATGAAATATCGAGAAAAGCGATGTCGAGATAACGATAGTTGACTGTATTTTAAACAATGTCATTGCGGAAAATAAATCCTGGACCGACTTTACTATTGGTTTTCTGACCAACGCAGATCATTAAAAATTCACGTGGTATAGGCACCGTGTTTTGACTTTTCTGCTCTTGTATTTGATGCTTTTGTTTCTTATTTTAGGATATATCAGAGACAGATAACTTACACATTAGTCAGAATACTCGTTATATTTCTGTAGCTTTCTCATTTTTCTAATTGTTCACATGGTCATCGAAATGGTGGCAATATTGGATCAACAAAAACTGGCTTCCGAGCTTACATGAAATGTATTTTCTTAACCAATAACCATGCAAAGTTCGATGCTTTGCACAATGGTTACAATTGCAAGCCTTTAATAAATTATTTGTATTAGATCAAGATCTTTTGAGCTTCTGTCAAAAGTACGTACATACTCCAATATTTTATTTTTCAGATTATGTAAATGATTTTTTTTCATATTTCTGTAAATTTACAGTAGACATTTAGAAAGATTTATATTCTCTACCGTTTTACAAGTACTTCTGAATATTACACAAAGTAAATAAAAAAAGTCTTCTCATACTGGATGTGTTGACGCCACGTGGTAGTGTAAGTATATTAAGACACACTGCTCAACCCCCTGATTCATCGTTTCAACAGCGTTTGACAAATTGTTCTTTCCCAATGAGTATTGCAGTTATAAAAATGGTATACTGGTTTAGGCTGTCTGTCCGTCTTGCCATCTGGTTGGTTGTCTGGCCGTTTGTGAACATTTTATTCCCAAGTCCGCTGGAATGATTTTATAAACCTCGTCAGGAAGAGCTGCCGTTATGTCCATTTGGATTTTAAGCTTGACCAATAAATGACATTGACTTTCAAGGTTATTGACCTTCAATAGTAATTGCTTATATTTTGCTGAATTTGGCTATAATATTGTAATACATTTACTTAACTATATTGTGAGGAGATGTCATTTTCCTGACGACAGTTCGTTTACTACTGGCGTCAGATGACGTATAACCAAATCATTTTTGCAGCGCATATGTCGTATAATAATGCATTCGACTGCCCTGTCTGTTAAGCGTGTTATAACTTTTATAAAATACGCAGAGATTGCAACACCGTGTCTATCAATTCAGCATTAAAATTGCTAATTCAAGACAGAATGTTATGTAGAGCTATGTCGAAGTATTAATTTCCGATGAAAATTTTATTCTTAAACTATCCAACAAATTTGTCTGTACCAAGAGGAAATTAGTTTGTTAAAGTTTATTGTAAATGTCTACTGTAGTAGTAAAATTCTTCGAAATGTTCGAGCATATGATAAGAAACTTCTGACTACAAATTTGCATTTATACAGCTTGCTGTAAAAGAGACAGACCTAAATTATCATTTGTTAGTTTAAGCAATATTTATTTATTTATTTCAATACCTAAGAAAATAGTGTATCAATGCATGATATTGTAAAAAATTAGAAATATAAAAGATTATTGTATTTGTTTAATAATGAAAATCAAGAAATAGGTAGATACCTCGTGAGTACTCACAACTATGATAAATTGAATTGCAAACTTTGTTTTATTGTTCATAATAATTGTAAAAAGTGGAATGCCTCTTACGTACCAGTCTAGGCAGTATTTAGTCTTCAACAGAAACAATCAGGAATTATTTTAAAACAGTTAAAGTACCCACCATAGACAATCACTTTAATTAAGAAATTAAATAAATATACACTGTTGCACTAATGATACTTTATTATCCATATTCAAAATATTAAAACAGAGCGGACTTGTCTCCATAAAGACTTATTACGCACGCTGTCAAAGCCAATATTCGTACAATATATCAAACAAATTTCATAAATTAATAAAATATTCTATATTCAGCCAAAAAGGCTTGAATGTGACAGTTGTGGTAGAATAAACTAATCTTTACTTCAGTCTAACCTCAAACTAAATTAGCGACTTGTTATATTTTTACACCAAAACGAATAGTCTATATTTATGCTTTTTGTTGCCTTTATCAAAATTTCAGCTTATTGAAATCTACATAATGAAATATGATAAGAGAAACGGAAGATTATAATGTATTACATAGAATGTCATCAAATTGTAGATCATGCGACTCTCAGAGAAGAGGCAAAGATACATACGTGTCTATTTCGATTTTAGCACTGAAAGCATATACGTATTTTATTATATCGTAAAAATTATTTGCAAAATATTTTGTGTTATAACTCGCGGCTTGCAAATAATATCATTTTAATCCTTTTTATGAATTTTATGTTGTAGAAGATAAATAGTTTTGTGGAAAATACATTTTTATATAAAATGATCATACAGATGACAATATCAATGATAATTACAAATATTGTAACGTTTTCAGGTGAAAAAACGACTGCTCTTATAATTGTTTGTCTCCTTGATAACTTTA